AACTGTTTTTAAATCAACTTTATAATATATTATTAATATAACACGCGATTTGACGTAATTACGCCATCACTCAACTTTAAGTCTGATTTCATTGTTTAATTTAATATCCGGAGTTATACGGAATTTTGAAAATTGTTCTTTTTTAACTTTCAAATTTTGAATACCGCAGCAAACCACGGCAACTTCCCGGAATTTACTAACCGAATTACAACAAAACAAAATAAATTGTAACATCACCACTTCAGATCATACTGTTTTTATATAAATAAAAATGGATCCTGTTTATGGACTCGTATTTTTTTTTAAAATCCTATATAAAAAGTAACCTTAAGATAAATCTACAAAATTTGGTCATCATTCTTTATTTCCTAGGTTTTTTTAGTATACTAGATAAAAAGAGCAATCCTTTTGTTCTGCGTATACAAAAGAAAATGTCCACTCGCCCATTAAATAAATTATTGAATGGCTTGAAAGTTAAAAAACGATCGTGGATTCCAAGGATTGTATGTAAAATCTTTTTTTTTTGTTTCACTTGTACAATTTGCGTTAATGATACACCCAACCGCAATTTTAGAATAAACGCAGTGGAATCAAGAAAAAGGAACTCATATTAGAAGAACAAGTACTTGCACCAATCCTGAGAAGACAAATAACAATATTTGATCTTCCAGCCGAAATTTATTCACATATACTTTCTTACCTTTTATTCACAGACTTATATTCTCTTTCTTCAGTTTCGAAATTCTTTAGGAATTTACTTTGGTCAAAATCGGAATTTACTCAATCAATTTGGAGAAATTGTAGATTATTTCATAATCCCATTTATCCCAAATTGCCTCCGCCTAATGGAATGTGCGAACAGCAATACATTTGGATTACTTTAGCTAAAAGAACTTGTCAGTTTTGTAAAGAAATTTATGAAACTACTGCTTATGATAAATGGTCTGTAAAAATAAATTTTTGCAATCTTTGCATCGCAAGTGATAAATATTTCATAGAAGAAAAGTAAGTTTTTTTTTTGAAAGTATAACTATTTTTTTGAATTTTTTTGAAATGAATTTAAACTTTTTTTTTATTTTTCCTCATTTAGCTGTGGATCAGTTACTTTACCACAAGAACTTAAGGGTTGTATTCCATATACGCAG